GATTGCATGGAATCTGAGAGAGGAATAGCAAGCATTTATTAGTGGTAATAATGTGCATTCTCCGTGAGATCCCTTAGCGGAATAATTTATATTATCTCTAACACCATAACACTAAAATAGCACTGCTTACAGTTGAGTTGATTTGTAAACTGGAGGAGACAAAGCTGTGTGGCACAGCACTCCAACAAGGCTCATTTCTCGGACATTCGGCGAGTGCATATTGGAACACACTTACTCTTCTGCCTATTCATATAAGAGAATGTTTTTGTTTGTCCAAGGTAATAGATCAGACGCACGGGGCTAGTCTCATGCAACTTTGCAGGGGGAATGGTCAGGGATACAGAATGAACATAGGTTGGTCGGGGTCGATCCAAGTTAAATGCTTTATAAAATATTAGCCTCTATAGAACCTCCCATGCGATTGTGAAAGTGTGAAATATTTGGTGTGCTTTCCTTAGAGTTTTTAATATATCGTAATATATTTTCAGAGGGACCCATATAGTTGTTTCTTCTTAATCCTTTTTCTGAGAAAAGGGAGAGAGAGAGAGAGAGGGGGTGATGAAGGGAAGGGAGAGGCTGAGAGGAATAGGTGAATCATGGGGTGAGAGGGAAAAAGAGGGGATAATAGGTAGAAAGAGGAGGGGGAAAAAGACCCGGGTGCAGCCGGGCATCCTTTCAATATATATGTAAATGAAAATTATCTCCTAGAAACAGGATGCTAAACGAAGTGGATGGAGGAGAGAGAGATGGGGGGATAGAGAGGATGTGGGGCGGGGGAAAGTATCGCGGGGAAATATATTTAATTCATCTGGACACTTGGAGACTCGAACCGTCGACTCCACAGTCGGTAGCTGCTGTATCTACTGAGCCACCAGCACACCTTAATAAGGAAGGATTCCAGTCGCACCAACCTGCTGCCCAACTGTGGTCACTGGTTCAAGACTCCCACTGTCCCAAGTGAATGACATGTATTTAACACACACACACAGGAATCTGTACACCTGTTGATTAACGGTTGAGAGGCGGGACCAAAAAGCCAGAGCTCAACCCCCGCAAACACAACTAGGTGAGTACACACGTACACACACACACACACACACACACACACACACACACACACACACACACACACACACACACACACACACACACACACACACACATTGATCACCACCTTCAAGACACCCCAACACCAACTCATCAGGTCCGGAGCAATTCAAATGGTGCCTCTCTCAACCCGCAGACAAATGGCCGCATCGATAGTGGAGACAGGAGCTGAGAGCAGACAAGAGGGCGCGGCAGACAAGAGGGCGCGGCAGACAAGAGGGCGCGGCAGACAAGAGGGCGCGGCAGACAAGAGGGCGCGGCAGACAAGAGGGCGCGGCAGGCAAGAGGGCGCGGCAGACAAGAGGGCGCGGCAGACAGACCAACAAGCAGGGTGACCTAATGCAATACTCACAGCCAGGCTCCCCAATCCCTTAACAATTCACAGCTCACGTTAGCATGGCACACCACTTCACACTAACAGCAGTCATTAACAACTCTGACACCCCTTCCAACAGTGGTGATGGGAGGGAGGGGGTGTCCGGTCAGGGGATGAAGACGACTCTTCCAGATAATAGATGGCACTGGCACTCACCTTTAAAAGTTCCTAATTGAAGTCCTTTCAGCGAGAGATTTAATATTCAATTTGGGGAAAAGTTTCTTTTGCCTGTAATAGGCTCGTTCTGCGAGTTGGGGCGGACAAGAGCCTGGTTGTGACAGTGTGTGCTGGGTGGGACCTGCTCCATAGTTAGTGTGGGGGTCTGAGGGGGGGAGAGGAGGGGGAAGTTGGCAGGGGGAGAGAGGGGGAAGAGTAGGCAGGGGATAAGGGGGAGTAGGCAGGGAGAGGGAAGAGCAGGTTGGACCAGGAGATATGGAAATAAAAGAGGCAGGAACACAAACAGGAGTATAAGAACCAGACCCAAAAACCGAATTCAATCAATTCCTCCTCCAAGTTGTATTGACATGTTCTTTCACGAAGAAAATGAAGCACAGGACTCCAGCTTCACTCTCACTTCGATATAAACTTTAACAAAGTACAAAGACTTTAAACATCTCCACAAACGACCCAATAAAGTGACTGAGCCTCTCGGTCACTTTATTGATCACTCACTCAGTCACTTTAGTGATCAGAGCCGAGAAGAAGAAGTTGCTGATCTCTTAAATACACGCTAGGACACGTTAATTACATATTCTTTAACACCTAAGAGAATTGTAAACACAAAATAAAAGTTAGACAAGAGAGGACGAAAGTGGAAGGGCACAGGCGCGTGAGAGGCCAAGAGAACACGAGCGCGACAGCACGTTATGAAGCACGCGCGACATCCTGGCACCAGTGCCCATCGTGTGGCATGGCGGCAGCTTTAACAGCGAAACAAAGTCCTGCGCAAAATGAATGAGATCACGAGGCGCTCCCGATAATAGCCCGCGACCAGTGTTTGCAACGGTGGTGCACACTGTCGCTTGAATACCTCATACCTCGCTGATGCGCACTCTCGCGCCGCGACCTCCTCGTGGACTGCCCTCAACACACCAAAGACTATCGCGGAGATCCGGCATATTGTGGATTCTATGTAAAATGTCATTAACTTACCGGGGCCTGGTCATTGACTTACCGTGGTCTGTATTTGGAAGATGTTTATGAGTCGCTGGAAGTAAGGTTTGTCCCTGGCACTGTTGACGAGTTCATATGGCGAGGTGTAGAGGAGTTGTGACGCCTTCAGGTTCCTGGTGTCCCCAGCATGCGCGTCTCCTGCTGGTGACGGGTCTCCTCCTTGCCCTTGACCCTCTGATGACTTTTTGGCAGTGGTGTTGGAGAGGCAGAAGGCGGAAACGCTCTTCACCTTGGAATCCCTAAAAGCTCTAGTTAACTTGGGCGATTCTCTGCCTTCTTGGCCCAGGATATCACTGCAGCTTGCGCAGTGGGTCACGGGACTCGACCTGCTGCAAGGGAAGGCTTCACTTGTGGGGCTCGATGAAGGAAATTCGACCGCTGGACAAGACAATTTCAGTGCCTTTTCTTTTTTCAGTTTGGTTATGTTGTCGTGAGAGGCGGATCTTTCGGGTGCTACTGCGAAGATTTCGTCCTTGAAGGTCTTGCTCATGTCCTGCGATCTGGCTCGTTTGTGGGTTACCTTTTCCTTGTAGTGAACGCGACTGGCAGCCCAGGATGTTGCCTGGGCTCCTTCTGTGTTCTTGGTAGCTAACTTGTCCTCATTTGTCAATAACTTGCTGTATGCGAGGCAGTCGCTGTCAGTCGTGGAACTACCGTCTAGAGAATGCAGTTTAGTCCAAAATGGAACAGATGTGGAACGTTTCATTGAACGCCTCTCGCGTTTCTTGCAAGATTTCCCACTTTCCTTTCTAGTCTCAAGCACCTCCGGACATCTGGTATCTGTTGTATTATATTCGTGTTTGGTTGGTATCTCCGTGTCTCTCTTTGCTCTGGCTTCGTCTCTACTGGTCGCCTGAGGAGCCACACTAACTTGACTGCTCTTGGGAATAGCTCCAGAACTTGTGTTGAAATTTGGGGTCTTGGAGAGATCGTTAGTGTGGTGGTGAGAGACAGCGAGGATGCTGGTGAGAGAGACGCGGCAGTCGTCCAGGAGATGGTGGACGTCGTCACACTTTTTAATTGCGCCAACTCTCCTTATTCTTGTAGGGGTGACGGAAGCCTTCACCTCTGTCACCCTGCGCTCACCAGACGGGTGCCTCTCCTGTCTACAAGTGCCGTTCTTTGCAGCACCTTTGTCTGCTTCAAATTTCTTTGCATTATTCTCTGTTTGATACACAGTGCCTGATAGAAACTTGCTTTTCTTCAGCACATTCTCCTTCTCTAAGTCATCGCTTAGCTTCGTGTGCCTAATGTTAAAGTATTCCACAGGCTGTGGAGGATCCTGTGTGTCGTGTCGAGGCTGTGGTTCTTGGGTCCCACCACGGTCCTCTGAAGCCTGTCTCTCATTACCAGGGAAGTGTGCTTCTAGTTCACTTCTTAGCATAATTGTTGGATAAAGCTTTTCTATAGGCAAGAAACAAGCTCGGCTTTGAAAGACAAGTTCTTTGAAAGACGTAGACGGGTTGTATGCTGTCAGGTCACTGGAGTGTCCGGCCTCCGTGGCTGTGCTAGAGAAAGGACACCAGGAGTTGTCCAAGACACTATTGGAACTTTGAAACTGTAAAGGATGTGAATAGTGTACCGATGCCGAGACACTTTCTTCATTGCAAGTTCCATCTTCAGGTATCGGGGATTCATTAGCGACAAGAACACAAGAAGGGTTCCTGGTCTTGGAAGATGGCGGAGGTTTTATGAATATCGGTGAGAAGTTTGAGGATTCACTTGGCAAGGTACTTTTATGTTGTTGAAGAATGGCTGAACCTCCACTACTGGTTTCCGCCTCCGTGGGAGATGTACTTAGAAACCACTGAGAGTTTGGACTAAAACTCTGACTTACATTAACTTCTACAGTGCCGGGAACCTTATCCTCCGCGTCACCGTGTTTCATCCTCTCCTGTACTTGACGGAGCATCACAGCTTGCTGGATCTGATCACACACTTTAGTATTCTCTTGCAAATTCTCCGGAATACATTTCAAGTTTTCTTTGACTGCAGATTCCTTGTCATCAACTGTGTCATTAAAGTGAAGAGGTCGAGTCTTAGTGTGGGACTTGACCTGTTTCCTCTTGAGTGACACGCTCTTGCTCAAGCGTGAGAGGAACGAAAACCCTCCTCCACAGTCCCTCATCTTGCTGGTGTCGACATCGACACTCGTGTCCATGGCCTCTTTTGTCGAGTTCATCGACATCGAATATTTCCCTTCAAGATTGCCGGCCTGTTCCCGTTCGTTATCGGGAGTGCGATTGTCGGTGTTCGGGACGCCTTCGTGGGTCTCTGGGGAGAACTGCCGTGAAGGAATTGTCGTTTCAGGGAGCCAGAACACGTCGTTGGAGATGGAAGAACAGCGACTCCTGTTGTCGCTTCCCTCCATGCCTGACGGTATTCTTGGCCACCATGTTCTTACACTCGGGGCTTCTTCCTTATTCTTGAGCGATTCTTTCGCATTTCTTTCTGAAGTATTGCTACCTTCCACGGGAGACTTTCCTCTCAGTTCTGGCTGTATGGATTCTATCGTCCCTGAGAGTGACTTGTATCTCCAGCCTCTTAATTCACGGGTTCGTATCCTCCTCTTAAACGACCTCACGAATCTTGGGTTGCTGCCGACGACATCTCCAGCGTCGTCTCCGTGGTCGTCGTGGCTGGCAGGAACATAATTATCTTCCTCAGAGTCATTTGGGTTGAGTGGTTTGGACTGATCCACTTGACTGACTAGTGAAGGCGAGGACGGATGATGGCTCTCAGACGGACGCAAGAGACATTCACTCTCAGTCGATTTTGAAAATGTTCTTTTAAATGAAGTCATTTTCTTCACCTTCGTCACCTCAAAGGGCTTCCAGGTGCTCAGAATCGTCAACAAGATGTCTTGAAGTCATCCAGGCTCAAAAATGTGTAGACAGCTTTGCAAATTGGCAGTTTTATGGCGGAGGCGAGACACAAAGTTCAGTTCGAAAGGAATTATGTCTCATTCCGCGTCAGGACTTGTCGAATATCGATGTTCCGCGCTTCCAGGAGGCCGATGGGAAATATGCCCAGAGAAATTTAGACCAAAACACACAAAAGATAGACCTTAGAATCCCCTTTTTTGTTTACACTTTTATATACACTTCTTCCCCCAAAGTCCTGAATCTAATCCTCCGGACGGCTTCTTGAACGCACTTTTCTTTAAAGGCTTCACATATACTGTTCACATTGAGTCCATGCCCTTGTTTACACTCGAGTCCATGCCCTTGTTTACACTCGTGTGATCTCGAGAGCCTCTTGAAGGAACGAGTCGTCGCCTTGTTATCGTCTTGCGCAATTATCGTCGTTTATTTGAGTCTTTCGAACATGGGTCACTGCCGTGATTACTGTTATCATTCACTGCTATTAACACAAGATTAAGTTATTTATTACAAACTCACGAGAAAAGTAAATGCAGTCAATTATACATTTTAGTGAACTACATTTTGCAATTTTTTTAATCACGTCAGAGAGAGAGAGAGAGAGACAGAGACAGAGAGACAGAGACAGAGACACAGAGAGACAGAGACAGAGACACAGAGAGACAGAGACACAGAGAGACAGAGACACAGAGAGACAGACAGACAGACAGAGACAGACAGACAGAGACAGACAGACAGAGACAGACAGACAGAGACAGACAGACAGAGACAGACAGACAGAGACAGACAGACAGAGACAGACAGACAGAGACAGACAGACAGAGACAGACAGACAGAGACAGACAGACAGAGACAGACAGACAGAGACAGACAGACAGAGACAGACAGACAGAGACAGACAGACAGAGACAGACAGACAGAGACAGACAGACAGAGACAGACAGACAGAGACAGACAGACAGAAACAGACAGACAGAGACAGACAGACAGAGACAGACAGACAGAGACAGACAGACAGAGACAGACAGACAGAGACAGACAGACAGAGACAGACAGACAGAGACAGACAGACAGAGACAGACAGACAGAGACAGACAGACAGAGACAGACAGACAGAGACAGACAGACAGAGACAGACAGACAGAGACAGACAGACAGACAGAGACAGACAGACAGACAGAGACAGACAGACAGAGACAGACAGACAGACAGAGACAGACAGACAGACAGACAGACAGACAGACAGACAGACAGACAGACAGACAGAGAGACAGACAGAGACAGACAGAGACAGACAGAGACAGACAGAGACAGACAGAGACAGACAGAGACAGACACACAGACAGAGACACAGAGGTGGTGTAGCCAAGCCATTACACGGCCAACTTCTCAATTATCGACTTATCGTCAAGCAAAATATGGTGTTAATTACAGATCTCTCCGCTTGTTTGATGTGACCCGCTGGTTACCCCCGCCCCAGCCTCCCTCACCCCCCCACACCCCCTTTATCCGGCCCCCTACACGTTTATCCGGCCCCTAAACCACGCTCATCCGGCCCCTACACCCGGGAGCCCCGACCCTGTCTGTGTGTGACCCCCGACCCTGTGTGACCCCCGACCCTGTCTGTGTGTGACCCCCGACCCTGTGTGACCCCCGACCCTGTGTGACCCCCGACCCTGTCTGTGTGTGACCCCCGACCCTGTGTGACCCCCGACCCTGTCTGTGTGACCCCAAGGTCACCCATACCTCAGAGCAGTTATTAGCCGATCGACAAAAAGCCTAAATTGCCCAATCTCGACTGCTGAAATTGGCTCTCAGTGTCCTCCTCTAGCGAGACGCAGTCACAAAGGCGCTCTAAGAATCCGCGCTTAAGTATTCATAGACTTACAGTGTAAACATCATCATCTGGGCTCAAAATTCACCGTTTCAATGATAATAATTTTTACATTGGATTTACGTAACTAGGTTCGCGTTGAAGCCAGTTTATCTTTCATTGGCTGACCCGACCCTCTGCTTGTTGGCACAGCCGGGCCAGGAGATCAAGAGATCTGTCTGTGTCTGCCTCCTACACACACCGAACCTCATCGACTGATTACACACACAGAGAAGAGTAAGGGGAGACATGATCACTACCTACAAAATAGGGGGGACATGATAGAGACATATAAAGTACTTAGGAGAACAGACAATGATAGTAAAGTAAATGAAGCAAACTCCATTCTTAACTTTAATAGTAGATATGACAGAGAAATAGTTCAGGAGTCATTGCTTTAGACAACCATTGAATAGAAAGGCGAGGTCCAAGAGCTATTGCTTCATCCGGCAAGCACAAACAAGTGACTATAATAGGTTAGCACAAACGCTTCTATTCTCACTTTTCCTCTCAGATAACAACTGAACAATCCTCCCAGAGCAAGGGAGCCGGTCGGCCGAGCGGACAGCACGCTGGACTTGTGATCCTGTGGTCCTGGGTTCGATCCCAGGCGCCGGCGATAAACAATGGACAGTTTTTCTTTCACCCTATGCCGCCTGTTACCTAGCAGTAAAATAGGTAGCTGGGAGTTAGTCAGCTGTCACGGGCTGCTTCCTGCGGGTGGAGGCCTGGTCGAGGACCGGGCCGCGGGGATACTAAAGCCCCGAAATCCTCTCAAGATAACCTCAAGATAACCTCAAGATAACCTCAAGATAACCTCAAGATAACCTCAAGATAACCTCAAGATAACCTCAAGATAACCAAGATAACCTCAAGATAACCTCCTCCCCCCCCCACTCTCCCTCACCATCTCTCTCGCACCTTACAAGGTCTTCCAGTCGTGTAATAATTAATGACACTGTTGTTCATCACTTACCAGCAGTTTATGTTCTTGGATATTAAGTGTTTCCTCTTTACCTCGTCTTAATAAGACCTCTTCCCCTTGTTCTGGTACCTGCCCTCTCTCTATCCCTTTGTTCTGGTACCTGCCCTCTCTCTATCCCTTTGTTCTGGTACCTGCCCTCTCTCTCTCCCCCTTTGTCCTGGTACCTGCCCTCTCTCTCTCCCCCTTTGTCCTGGTACCTGCCCTCTCTCTCTCCCCCCTTGTTCTGGTACCTGCCCCTCTCTCTCTATCCCTTTGTTCTGGTACCTGCCCTCTCTCTCTCCCCCTTTGTCCTGGTACCTGCCCTCTCTCTCTCCCCCCTTGTTCTGGTACCTGCCCCTCTCTCTCTATCTACTTGTCCTGGTACCTTCCCCCTCTCTCTCCCCCCTTGTCCTGGTACCTGCCCCTCTCTCTCTCTACCCCTTTGTCCTGGTACCTGCCTTCTCTCTCTACCCCCTTGTTCTGGTACCTGCCCCTCTCTCTCCCCCTTGTCCTGGTACCTGCCCTCTCTCTACCCCCTTGTCCTGGTACCTGCTCTCTCTCTCTACCACCTTGTCCTGGTACCTGCCCTCTCTCTCTCCCCCCTTGTTCTGGTACCTGCCCTCTCTCTCTCTCTACCCCCTTGTTCTAGTACCTGCCCCTCTCTCTCCCCCTTGTCCTGGTACCTGCCCTCTCTCTCTCCCCCCTTGTCCTGGTACCTGCCCTCTCTCTCTCCCCCCTTGTCCTGGTACCTGCCCTCTCTCTCTTTACCCCCTTGTCCTGGTACCTGCCCTCTCTCTCTCTACCCTTTGTCCTGGTACCTGCCCTCTCTCTCTCTACCCTTTGTCCTGGTACCTGCCCTCTCTCTCTCTACCCACTTGTCCTGGTACCTGCCCTCTCTCTCTACCCCCTTGTCCTGGTACCTGCCCTTTCTCTCTTTCCCCTTGTCCTTGTACCTGCCCCTCTCTCTATCCCTTTGTCCTGGTACCTGCCCCTCTCTCTATCCCTTTGTTCTGGTACCTGGCCTCTCTCTCTACACCCTTGTCCTGGTACCTGCCCTCTCTCTACACCCTTGTCCTGGTACCTGCCCCCTCTCTCTTCCCCTTGTCCTGGTACCTGCCCCTCTCTTTATCCCTTGTCCTGGTACCTGCCCTCTCTCTCTACACCCTTGTCCTGGTACCTGCCCCCTCTCTCTACACCCTTGTTCTGGTACCTGCCCTCTCTCTCTCTCTACCCCCTTGTTCTGGTACCTGCCCTCTCTCTCTCTACCCCCTTGTCCTGGTACCTGCCCTCTCTCTCTCTACCCCCTTGTCCTGGTATCTGCCCTCTCTCTCTCTCTACCCCCTTGTTCTGGTACCTGCCCTCTCTCTCTCTACCCCCTTGTTCTGGTACCTGCCCTCTCTCTCTCTACACCCTTGTCCTGGTACCTGCCCTCTCTCTACACCCTTGTCCTGGTACCTGCCCTCTCTCTCTTCCCCTTGTCCTGGTACCTGCCCCTCTCTTTATCCCTTGTCCTGGTACCTGCCCTCTCTCTCTACACCCTTGTCCTGGTACCTGCCCTCTCTCTCTACACCCTTGTTCTGGTACCTGCCCTCTCTCTCTCTCTACCCCCTTGTTCTGGTACCTGCCCTCTCTCTCTCTACCCCCTTGTTCTGGTACCTGCCCTCTCTCTCTCTACCCCCTTGTCCTGGTATCTGCCCTCTCTACCCCCTTGTCCTGGTATCTGCCCTCTCTCTCCCCCCTTGTCCTGGTATCTGCCCTCTCCATCACTCTCGTCTCACTCTTTGAGCTCTCAACAAACATTCTAATAGTTTTTCCTTTTCTCTTAGACAACTACTAGTTCCTACATGGTTTACCTGTCTTCTACCTACACCTGTTGGTTCCTGCTCAGTCTACAGGTGTGTCTTACACACCTGTTGACCTCCTCACACCTGTTTCAGCATCCTTGGCTACGCGTCTCCCACGCTCTCTCAGCCTCAATCTTCTGGTCTAGGGTTTTCTTCAATACATTATATATTTTAGCTTGATGTATTAATGTGGGAGTTTTGCTTATCCTTCGATAGTGCTTCAGATCTTACAGGTGTAATTTGTGTCTCTTGGACCTCTGCTACCTGTGTACCACCCGTGTCCCTCACCTGTGTGTCCCTCACCTGTATCTAAGCACAAGCACAACACGCTACAGGTAAACTACAGGTAAACTGGAGGTTAACTACATGTAAACTAGAGGTAAACTCCAGGTAAACTATATGTAAACTACATATAAACTAGAAGTAAACTACATGTAAACTACATGTGAACTCGAGGTAAACTACATACAAACTAGAGGTAAACTATACGTAAACTTCAGGTAAACTATACGTAAACGCCAGGTAAACTGCATGTAAACTCCAGGTAAACTGCATGTAAACTCCAGGTAAACTGCATGTAAAGTAGATGTAAACTACATGTAAGCTACATGTAAACTAGATGCAAACTACAGGTAAACTAGAGGTAAACTACAGGTAAACTACAAAGCAAGCAAGCAACAGGTGCCTCCCCCAATTATTTTCCATCTAAATTATTCAAACACCTTTTTTTATAGTCTTGTCTTACCCTACTGTTCCTCCCCCTCCCTTCCATTCCCCTCCCCTAATGTCTCTCCCCCTCACTTCCCCCTTCCCTCCCTCACTTCCCCCCCCGCCCCCCCCATTACCCCCTACCTACCCCTACCCTACGACCCCCATCACCTCTCCAATAACCCCCCCCCCCCCCCCCCCC